ATAATGCCACTAACGCCAGCTGATACTGGTACAGGTACATTTAAATGCTAAACATGGACGCATGGACGTCCCATATGTAACAAATGGTAATTGCATGCCTGATGATTCACAATGTCAACATGTCTGCATATCGGAATGTTTAAAGTTGAATACTAGTTCATTGTTAATTAATTGTACCTGCACATGTCTTTATCAAGTCTAGTAGGTAATAATTACCTTGTGTGTGAGCTGCATTTTTTAGCAATTTATCCTAAATTGGATATTATAGCGACATGATTACCTATACGTGTAGATTAATCGAAGTTTTAAAATAATTATTTATGGACAAGTGTGTAAAGGTACTCTTTTTTGACAAATGTGAATGTTGTCGCACGAGCTGTAGGCGAATGCGACAATCACATGAGTTGCCTACAATATTTTTTCTACTACCGTACAAATTATCCACTAATATTAGTAATATAAAAGTTACTTTTATTCACTAGTGCGTAAAATATTTTGTTGCTATGTACAATTTTTATCAAATTTTACTTTTTTCACTAGTGCTTACTTTACGCACTAGTGAAAAAAGTATAACTTTGCACACTCCGTGAAGTGCGTAAAGTATGTACTTTACGCACGGTTGTAGAAAATAGTTATGTCTACAATCAATGTAAAATAAAATATTGTTTGATGAATAAGGAAAATGATTTTTTTTCCGATTGACATGAATTGGACATTTATCGATCATAGAAGTAACATTTTTACTGCTTAGGCATTAAAAATCATTGTTACTGCCTAAGCACTAAAAACTTACCTTTTTTGCTTTTGAAGTCTTGCTCTACATGAGTATCCGAGCATCCGGCCAAAAAAGTTACTGTAATAAATTAACTACAAAGTTACTATAAGAATATTTTAATTAAATAATTCACAAAATGGTACACAGCGACCCACACTTTATTTAGCAACGGAACTGATAATGTGAATGTGATTCAAGCAGGGCCATGGAATCAAACAATAATTATAACCTTTATTGTGCACGCAATTGTGGTGCATATTTAGCATTATATTATCATCTTTGGGTAGATATACAGTGTGTTCCAGATTCGCTTCTCTATACAGGGATCTCGGCTCCTATTATACCTACAGCAAAAGTTAAATGTTTCAGAGGAAACTTAGTGCATTAGATAACCGGCTTCAGATTTACGATAGGTCAGTTGACTATGGAAATATCGGGGGAAAACCGAGAATGGCGGATTTCGTTTTTCGTCTGTAAATCCGAAACGAATAATTTGACAGCTGTCAAAATGTGACATTATTCGAACACTTTTTTTGCTATAATTGTGAGGGAGCTAAGACCTTAGTGTTTGGCTTTAGATTTTGGTTTTTTTATTAAAAAACTTAAAAACTCACTAAAAAAAAGTTTAAAAATAACTGTTATATTGTCCTTAATATGAAGTTTATATAACACTTGAAGCCTTCAATTTGGAAGAATCAAACTCACACTTTAAGTATTATTATTATTCTTTATTGATTTACGGTTAATACAAGAATGATTTCTTTTTAGTATTGTACATACCCATCGATGTACCTAGGCGATAACAAATCAACCAAAGAAATAAATATCCCAGTGGCGTACCAGTAATATTTACAATATACAACAATAACATAGTCAAGGAAAGGTAATTTCGTGATAGGATATCTTATTTCGTGATATGGGGTAGGCATATTCGTGAGACAACAGTAAGTGCTAAAAATTGTAAGATACGGTTTTATTATCGGTTACAAGTTACAAGTTACAATGTATCGTTTTATGCGTAAAATTTTAATCTGAGTCATCGCTGCTAGTACCAGCGCAACTATCGCACATAAAAACAGTATCTTCCTCGGATGCTTGACATTTAGGGTGATATGGTATTAAACAGTAGGAACACTGTATCCACAGTGCTCCATCTTTCTTCTTACAATCTTCCAAGTAACTTCCTTCACAAACATCACACCTCTAGTCATCCTCATTGTCATTCTGCCGTTGGGGAACTTTCTTTTCAGAAATAGTCTTGGCTTTGGATTTAGACGACTTCTGAGTCTTGACGTTCATTGCAGATTTTACCTTGACTTTACAGCTATTAGTATCTTACGTAGGAGGTTCGTTTAGTGAGGAAACATCATCAAAATCATTAAGACATTTAGCTTTCGAATCCCGTTACCTTTGACAGGAACATCGGATGCACTGGGTGCCACTGGTAGAGACAATAACTGCTTCTGATCAGTTGCAGAGGCTGGCTCAGTTTCATCTGCAACAGCTGGTCCTTGAGGAGCTGCTTTATTGATAACTAGAGACAGATCAACAGCCTCTCTGGGAATAGCGTCCTTGTCAAATGGACACGCCCAAGTTTTTCGAAAATCATTTGTGATATTGGAACGACAAAAACTTGTTGGATTTAACAGAGAGTGAAAATTGTGCCTGTTGGGTTTTTCTGTAGGATATTCTCTCATAAAATCGTTTAAACTCTTAGACCAATTGGCCTTAAGATATTTATACACGCCCACATCTAGGAGTTGAAGCAAATGAGATGTGTGCGCCGGAAAAGTGAATAAATAAATATCATTCTCTTTAGCTAGATAAATTACTGTGACATTTATATGAAAGGCATGAGAATCCATCAAAAGGATAACAGGACGAGCTGGAGGAATTGATTTAATAAAGAATTGGAACCACTCCAGAAATAAATCAGTGTTGATCCAACCCTTAGGAGACAGTTTAACTGGTGTACCAGGAGGACAGTCTGATTTTAAATTATTATTCCAGCGAATTCCTTTAAAAATAATTAGTGGAGGAATCCATGTCCCGTCAGCACAGATACAACCAAGAAGTGTATGTGACTCACCCCTATCAGCATATGTTCTCTTGTAAATGTATCGTTTTCCAATAGACGTAACAACCTTACTAGGCTTAACAACAACTCGGCAAGTTCTTTATGTTTAGCTTCTCCACGGGTACTTCTAGTTTTACGAAGTAGTCCTGTATTATCCATGGAGTACTTATAGAAGCGCGATAAGCTGCGAGATTTTCTGGAACGCGTAAAGCAAGATTGTACCTCTTCTTGAATTGTGACCACCACCATTTACTTGCAGAATTGTTACCTTCCTTGAGAAAAAATTTTTTACCACATTCTTTTGCCAATTCGAAAGCTATTTTTCTTACCATTACAACTGTTTCTGGCGTCAGTGCATATGGCCTAGTTTTGCAACTTGTTGCTGGTTGTTTTGGTTTTTTGACAAAACATCTTCAGCATACTCAATGGTATCCCAGTCTCTTTGCTTGCTCTATAGATTGTCATGTTTGTTTCCCTTACTAACCTACCAGCTTCTATTAAATCAGATATTTCATAACTGCGATATTTTCTTCTTTTGTCTTCCATGTTAAAGCTGAAATTACAAACAATAGGTAAATCCAATGGAAAATTATAAAATACGATTAGAATTAATATTAAAAATGCGCGAATATGAATTTACCTTCCGCATAAGCTGACAAATATATCTGTCTTGATTTATGTAATGTCCATAATAATAGTAAAATATATTTGATGATTAAAATATTAATATTAATTTTTATACTTTGATCCTAGATATTTATTAAAATAATTTTAAAATAAATACTTTTTTTTCCTGGTTCATTTACATATTTGATTAGATAATCCAGTGACATAACCGTGATAACTCAGTTCATAGAGCGTTCAATTTTTTTAACTCTGCATGTCATGACCATTATGCGATGCGGGTTCAATTTTCGATAGAAGCAACCTTCTTTATTTTGGAAAAATATACGACCATTGTTGTTGTTATTTTTCGACTTCAGCGTAACCCACTCCTATTTTAATGATATTTTCTTTGTTGATTCAATCCGAGCTCGAACATAAAAGAATGCAAGTACGGTAAATAAAACAGAAATAGATTCCAAATGATTAATTTACGGGGATCTCCAAGTAATGCCGTAACGTACGGCCATTTAAAATTTAAAGTTCAGAAGAATTTTCCCTCAGTCGAGATAAAAATAATTCGTTTTATCGGAGCAGCGGATATTTATCAGATGCGTAAGTTCATGGATCTTTTTTGTTTATTTTAGATATACAGACGTTAACCGCCTAAATGACAAATTCTTTTAATTTGTTTACGTAAGATTTTCTTCGAGTGTGGTTTGATTTCGAGTTCTTGGAAGCTCAAACACAAATATATACGAGTATATATACAAGATAATATAAATATTTCGAATTTCGTTTGTGGGAATTATTATTGTTGATAGTTATCCACTTTTGACACAAGTACTATTTTAATTTGAAATAAAATAGATAATTATTAGACCACGATACCAAAAAACAATATTTTCATTAATTTATTGGTGCTTTCATGTGGAATGTGATCTAGATTAGGTTCTTTTCAAATTTAATCATTTGATTTTAAAGGCCATATTTTTTTGTTAAAATGTGTCAACTTCAAATTACATTTTTAAATTGACAAATTTTTATATTTAACATTTGTAGTTATATGAACAGATCTTTTTGTTAAAATTTTATGTAAAATCGTTTGGATGGGCTTTTTCAAAATAAATGTTCTCGAAGAATAACTATCGCCTCTTTATATTACAGAAATATAGTTGTCTAAAAATAAGAAGCTATAATGTGGGGATTATAAATGACTTTGATGATAAGTGGCTTCATTTTTGAAAGCTAATAATTCTTTCTATTTGAAGAAAAGAATCCCGTTCCATAAAGTTTCACATGAGCAGTACAGTGTACCTAACAGTCGATTATTTTTATTCCTCCTGTGCTGCAGATAAAGATAAAACAGAAGGATTTATAATAAATCGATGAATCTTTTTACATTGAAACGAAGTGACCTCATTCATATAGTATCTACGAGTAATATTTACACTTCTGCAGAGTTCTTTGAATCAATACTATTTAAACCGAGACAATTAAATATATTATTTATTATTATTAATTCCATTAATTTATTTTTTTCAGATCATCAGCAATAGTTCACAAAGGTGGCAGCAGCATCCCACTACCGGGATCTTCCCTACCAGCTCGAAGATGCCCCCCGGACAAAGTTCGTCCGGTAGCGAGCAGCTCCAGAAGTACCAGTCCAGCATTGTCAATGATCCCAAGAGCACCGCCCACTCAAATAGCGAGCCCGTACCAAAGCAACAATCAATCGCAAAAGAACTCAATGCTGGATAAGCTCAAGTTGTTTAAAAATAACGATAAACCTGTACCGGTTAGTAATGGGAAAAGGACCAGTAGTTCTAGTGGAGTATCGTCGGCTAGGAGTGAACGTAGCGACTCCAGTAGTATCAGCATAGAACATAGTGTTGATCTTAAACCTGTGAGGAATACTTCAAGGTAAATATTCAAAAAACATTGAACATTTACTTTTATTATTTCAACATAATTAGTACTTCTTTAGTTAGGATCATATCAAAACTAAAAACCTATATTTAAATAAAAAGTTTCGATGGAGAGCATATTGAATACCCGAAATGTCTCAAACTTTAAAATAAACTTCCCCTTATGCTTTTGGATATTTCTAAGACTTCCATTAAATAATCTTTTTTGAAATATCAATATTTATTACAGGTTAAAACAAACCCGTCCCAGCAAGCCAACCCAAGTCAAAAACAGTCCAAACTCTAGTAAAAAAGAAGTTACCAACAAATCCAACAAAATAGCTGCAGACGTAGAAAAACACGCCTATAAAATTGCAAACCTGCCTACCACCAAACTAGCTGAACCTAAAATTAGAGTTACGGTCAGTAAGGAACCTCAAAATAAAGTTACTCACCTACCAGTACATAATGGTAGTTTACCGGGGGTTGGTACTGGTATCCCCAAACCTACAGCTGCGGTTAAAGGTACTAGCAAGATTTCTAGAGATACGAGTGTGACTTCTTTAAAAGGACTTAATGGCACTTCTGTTTCTAGAGAAAATTCACAATTATCGTTGAAACAGCAGAAACCTACTGTTGCTCTAATTTCGCCAATAAAAAATGAAAAAGATCCGCAACTATCTGAAAGCAGTCATAGTGCTAGTACTGGGCATCACAGTAATTCCAGCGAGAGTTCTGTTATTTACAAACCTTCAAGCGAAAGTGGTTCTGACCATCCTAATATCATACCAAATAGGAAAGAGCCTGTTAACTACATCACCGCTGTAACTGACCAATCTCCTCCACCTCCAGCACCGCAAACTCCTAAGGATTCCTCCAACGAAGCTGATAATCTACATAACAACGACAAAGAAGCTAATAACATATCTTATAATAACATAGTCAATAGAGAAAAAATAGATATATCTAAGGACAGGGAAAAAGACATACTGAACCATATCAAAGAGGTCTATTTAGAGGACAAAGATGAAAACTTATCAATTGAACCAATGCGGCCTTTTACTTCGGGGTTATTGTAGTACTTTGACGTTACCCGCGAGACAGAGACAGTACCAGAGGGTGCAGCCCGACGGAGGGTCCGATTATTGTGAGATCGCTTTGGCAAATGGATACCTATCTGATGGTGAAATATTAAGGAATACCGTGGTTATGGATATTGGAGATGGGTATATGTCTGAAGGGGGGGTCTATTTTGTATGCCAGGAGATTGCAAACGATGCCGTCACATCTTCCAAATGGGTGAGTACTGTTTAGAATAAATTTTATTACTACGTTGCCGATTTCTATGATTCTTTTTTATTAGAAAGGGTATATCTCAGGGGTAGTTCCATAAACAATTGGTCAGGATCTGATATTCTATGAAAAAATAAAAAATCTTAATTATTAAAGGCATCTGCACGATTTTGAAGACGGTTTTTTAAAATTACTTTTTTATTTTACAAACCACAAAATTTGTTTCGAAAAAGAATTTTTTCCATATTCTGGTTCACTCGATACCTATATTTTTAAAACAGTCAGAACCCCACAAGTGTAGGCATCTTGCACGCATACATACGCTTTGAAAAAAAGTGGTAAATTAATATTATGACAGATTTCGTTACAGATAAAACTATAAATAGAAAATCATTAATATGAATTATCAGAAAAAATTAAAAATCGAACTTAACCCTGAGAACTACGAAAGCGTAGAAGGGCCACAAAATATACATATTTTTTAAATTTTGATTTTAATCTTAAAATTTTGACTTTAAACTTGGAATTTCGACTTTAATTTTGAAGTTTTGACTTTAAACTTAAAATTTCGACTTTAATCTCGAAGTTTCGACTTTAAACACGGAATTTCTACTTTAATCGCCAAATTTCGACTTACATCTCGCAATTTAGACTTTATTTTCGCAATTTCGACTTTATTCTCGAAATTTAGATCTTAAACTCGAAATTTCGACTTGAAACTCGATATTTCGACTTCAAATTCTGAATTTCGATTTTATATCCTGAAATTGCGATCTTAAACTAGAAATTTCGACTTTAATGTCGAAATTTATATTTTATTCTCAAAATTTCGACTTTAAAGTTGGAATTTCCATTTTAACATCAAAATTTCGACATTAAACTCAATATTTCGACTTTAATTTCCAAACTTAGACTTTAGTCTCGAAATTTCGACTTTAATTTCAAATTTAAACTTGAAATTTCAACTTTAATAAAGTTTCTACCTTAAACTTGCAATTTTGACTTTATTCGCCAAATTTCAACTTTAATCTCGCAATTTTGACTTCAATCTCGAAATTTAAATTTTAATATCCAAATTTCGACTGGAAACTCGAAATTTCGACTTTAATCTCGAAATTGCGACTTTAATCTCGAAATTTCGACTTTAATTTCGACTTTAATCTCGAAATTTTTTCTTTAAATTTTGAATTTCAATTTTTATTACAAAATTTCGATCTAAAACTTCTTTAATTTAATTTAAAATTTAGACATTAATCTCAAAATCTTAGACTTTAATCTCGAAATTTCGACTTGAAACTCGAAATTTTGATTTTAATCTCGTAATTTTGACTTTAATCTCTTAATTTTGACTTTAAACTTGAAATTTCGACTGTATATTCTGAATTTCTACTTTAATCGCCAAATTTTGACTTTAATCTGAAAATTTTGGCTTTAATCTCAAAATTTAGATTTTAATCTCGAAATTTCCACTTGAAACTTCGACTTTAATTTTGAAATTTAAACTTTAATCTCGAAATTTCTTCTTTAAATTCAAATTTAGACAATAATCTCGAAATTTCGGCTTTAGTCTCGGAATTTTAAGTTTAAACTCGGAATTTCGACTTTAATCTACAAATTTTGACTTTAATCGCCAAATTTTGACTTTAATCTTGAAATTTCAACTTTAAACTTAAAATTTTGACTGTATATTCGGTATTTCGACTTTAATCGCCAAATTTCGACTTTAATCGCCAAATTTCGACTTTAATCGCCAAATTTCGACTTTAATCGCCAAATTTCGACTTTAATCTGGAAATTTTTACTTTAATCAAAATTTAGATTTTAATCTAGAAATTTCCACTTAAAACTTCGACTTTAATTTTGAAATTTAAGCTTTAATCTCGAAATTTCTTCTTTAAATTCTGAATTTCGATTTTAATCACAAAATTTCGACTTAAAACTTAAAATGTCTTCTTTAATTTCAAATTTAGACATTAATCTCGAAATTTTGACTTTAATCACGAAATTTCATCTTTAAATTTGAAATTTCGACTGTATATTCTGAATTTCGACTTTAGTCGCCAAATTTTGACTTTAATCAGGAAATTTTGGCTTTAATCTCAAAATTTAGATTTTAATCTCGAAATTTCCACTTGAAACTTCGACTTTAATTTTGAAATTTAAACTTTAATCTCGAAATTTCTTCTTTAAATTCAAATTTAGACAATAATCTCGAAATTTCGACTTTTGTCTCGGAATTTCAAGTTTAAACTTGGAATTTCGACTGTAATCTACAAATTTTGACTTTAATCGCCAAATTTTAAATTGAATCTTGAAATTTCAATTTTAAACTTGAAATTTTGACTGTATATTCGGTATTTTGACTTTAATCTGGAAATTTCCACTTGAAACTTCGACTTTAATCTCGAAATTTCTTTTTTAAATTCTGAATTTCGATTTTAATCACAAAATTTCGACTTAAAACTTAAAATGTCTTCTTTAATTTCAAATTTAGACATTAATCTCGAAATTTTGACTTTAGTCTCGAAATTTCAAATTTAAACTCGGAATTTTGACTTTAATTAACAAATTAAAATTTTATTCGCCAAATTTCGACTTTAATCTCGAAATTTTGACTTTAATCTCGAAATTTCAACTTTAAACTTTTGACTGTATATTCGGAATTTCGACTTTAATCGCCAAATTTCGACTTTAATCTGGAAATTCCGACCTTAATCTCGAAATTTAAATTTATATCTCGAAGTTTCCACTTGAAATTTCAACTTTAATTTTAAAATTTAAACTTTAATCCAGAAATTTCGACTTTAATCTCGAAATTTCAACTTTAAACTTGAAATTTCGACTTTATACTCGGAATTTCAACTTTAATCGCCAAATTTCGACTTAGATTTTAATCTCGAAATTTCGAATTGAAACTCGAAATTATTACTCTATTCTCGAAATTTTGCCTTTAAATTTAAGTTTTAATCCCGAAATTTCGACTTTAAACTCGGAATTTCGACTTTAGTTTCGAAATTTCAAATTCAAATTCGGAATTTTGACTTTAATCGCCAAATTTTTACTTTAATCGCCAAATTTTCACTTTAATTGCCAAATTTTTACTTTAATCGCCAAATTTCGACATTAACTGCCAAATTTCGACTGTAGTCGCCAAATTTTGACTTTTATCCCGAAATTTTGACTTTAATATCGAAATTTCGACTTGAAACTCGGAATTTCGACTTTAGACTCGAATTTTCAAAATTTCACCTCGAAATTTCGACTTTAAACTCAGAATTTCGACTTTGTTTTCGAAATTTTAGAAAATATAATTTGAAATCGATATTAATGTCGAAATTTCAAGTTTAAAGTTGAAATTAAAAAAAAAATATGTGACTCTTCCACGCTTTAGTAATAAAAATATCGATTATAAGAGCATTAACTGAAATATTAATTTGAAACTATTTTTGATCAATTTTGATATTATTAAATTTAATAAAAGTAAAGTTGTGAAAAATTGTGATTTAAATTGTATTCCCCAAGGTGTGCAGCCGCTGTATGACGGAGATTAAAAGGTTTTTCTAGTAAATTTGATTTCAATCTAAAATTGTTTGTTAAACCATATAAGACCCAATTTGAATTTTAAATTCGAGCTCTATTGAATAAATAGATGGGTGGCAAAAATGCATTGAGTTTGTTTAGTCACGCTTATTTAAAGCCAAAGAAGCTTAACAAAAATGTCAGGGGTTCGTCTCGTCAGAACTATGAGTAATCCCTTGTTTCCCCTTTTTCATCAGTTTTAAAACTCTATGTATACTATTCCTGAAAGCTACCAATTTATACAGAAGAAAAATTATTAAAGTTATATTCTACGACATTTTTTTGTATTCGAATATTTATTAAAATTTTAATTTCATCGGGTAAACGTTAAAAAGTATTTTGAAATAATGATCCAAAATCCCTATATCTAAAACATTTATATGTTTTATTAAATTTTATAAAAGTATGTAGTAATTCATTGGATATGTGATTTATGAAATATTCCGATGAATTGAGAACCTCCTCCTTTTTTGAAGTATGTTAAATAACTGACATTTGTGCAAATACAAACGCCTATAACGAAAATGGGCGTAAAATCTATCTTAATTTAGCACTTACTCATTCGTATATAAACGAGCAAAAAGCTGTGACTATGACGATATTCCCTGCAACACAACCAAAGGGGTCCTTTAAAAGGATGAGTAATCCCTGCTGGCATTAATTTTAATCTAGCTACGCTGTCCCTTGTCCATTATCCTTAAAAGATATCCAGTAATGGCACACCACGGCATTCCATAAATTTAATATGCTAGAATGCCCATGAGAGAAAATCATGGTGTATCAAATTCTGATGGATTGTAAGACAATTCTTGTATGTTTTTCTTTATTTACTTCGTAGAAAAAAAAAAGATTTTAAGTGAATTAATAAATTTTCTAACAAAATCAGATTAATTGGTTATAAACAAAAAGTCTAAACCGAGTTTGTATTTTGGCTAACATAAACTTCATATTACAATAATTAGCTCAAAGTAATTGAAAATATATTCAAAGTTAGCTGTCCCGGTACGAATATTCCTAATTTTAACGAAACTCTTTGTAAATTTATATTTATTTGAAAAGGGGGGATTTGATCAATTTAGATTATAAAGAATGGTCCGCAAAAAATATTTCTTTCATGTCCGAAATAACTATGCACTACTCTGAATTAAATTCAAACTAACACTTAAAAATAATAAGAATTGTACATTCCTACATATGTTAATTTTTCCAATGCCTACTTTATAACCCTTTTTTGTAGTTCACTCATTATTTTCAAAAAGATAGAAAGTTGAACTGATGAAACGAAGAAGTTTTCCCTGGTTGTGTTATGATAAAAATTGGCGTGATCTGCTACCTATTCTCGAACTTATGCCAGACGACCAAAACCAAATTGTTGTACAATGCTGTAGAAATTATCTTTTTTGTTTTACATAATTATTATTGTTCAT